TATGGGGGTATGTAGAGTAGCCTTATATAAATGTGTATAATTATAGCTATAGTGTTCAGGAAATGGCATTCATTCATTAATATGATGATGCAATGCTGCGTGTATGTATTAAATGCATGCGTTGTATAATATATTTTAACAAAAGAATTACCATTAAAATTGTATTATTAATAATAATAATAATAACAATAATATCAACAGCAGCACAGCAGCAGCAGCAGCTGGACCGTAGCAGCAGTCTAATAATGAGTCATGGACGAATACGTCCAACTACAGTGAGGCCTTAATGAGATAAAGATTTGAATGAAGTAAATAGGACAGCTGGAACTTAAATATTAACAATAATTATAATAACAATTATAAATAATAGAAAGACATTATTTTTGGCTAGTCCTTTCACACAGCTGCAGCAGTAGTTCACCAGAAGTAACGTTGGCTTAGATTTTACACCGGATACTCTTCCTGACGAACCAGGCCATATAATAATAATCATCATCCTAATAATAATTAGTCAGTGAAAATAATAAGATGTGCTTCAAAAATGTCTTGTGATTTGTGCACAATTTAAAAAGTCACTAGTGTAGTGTGGAATATTTTTCAGTTTGAAAATAAAAAATACATGCAGCTGCATATAATATTCACAATATTATTATTATTATTATTATTATTATTATTATTATTATGATAACGTACATTTTTTGTTATATTAAGAAACCCAGTTGGTTCGGTCTTTGGCTCCACCTTCACCAGTAACTGACAGACGGTGGCTGTTTTATGTCCCACCGTTGTCGACCCCGGTCGTTTGGACGACACCGTCCAGAACCAGGCAGCAGGACCGCTCTGGGACTCCTGAGGCCCTGAGTCTTCTCAGCTGCTGCGGCGGACACAGGGCTGCGGTGCTGCAGGCTAAGTGTGGGTGATGACACACAGGCCAGAGCTGCTCCTCCTCGGAAATGCATTCCCAGAGAAAACCGAGGGCGTCCTCCTGGGTGGCCCACCGGCAGAGACATGAACGGAGCTGATGAAGCCTCGCTGTCCTCTGTGGACCAGAGGACAGGGGACATGTCAACGTCTGCTACTTTTACTTTCTTAACTTAACTTGTTTTTTGTGGTGTAAAAATGACTCATATATTATATACGGTTACTGAATTAACTTGTAGTAATGTCTTAGCAAATATTACCCAGACTTGGTGGCTAACGTTAGGCTGCACCGCCGTGTATTTTAGCAGCAGTGCTAATAAAACTTTGAATAATTTCCTAAACTATAAAGAAATTGAATTAATAAAATTCAACCCGTCACCTTCCTTTTTTGTTTTCTTTGTTTTGTTTATGGTACAGTCTGCGTGAAATGCACTGGGGAAGAATATGGAGTTTTAACTAATGTGTTCAAATGCTGAGGCATAAATTAAAATAACTGAACACATTTAGTCGCACATAGAAAGAAAATCTAGAACCTCAAATATATCGATGCTTTAACCATTTCATGCATCACACTTGAAATATATATTTAAAAATCCAGACTGTTCCTTTAAAGTGTTATTATAAAATTCAAATCGCAAACAATGTAATTATATCGCTGCAATAATATTCAAATAACATTCATATAAAGACACACTACGTGCACAGAAGCTTTACACGGAATTGTGTACATTGTGCTGGGATTATTCCTACCAGTGTTTTCCCTGTAAATAAATGTATATAAATTGCTACATTGACGCGGCCGACACACACACACACACACACACACTTTACCGCTCCAGGGAAAGCTGATTCTCTTTTTCTCACCATAACTCA